ATTACGATTAGTCTACTCCAAATGTAGAAAGCCATTTTTTTTATCGGATAATCTTTCAGAAAATAGATTAATCATAAAAAATTTATAAAAATATTTATCCTTTTCATTAAGGAGACGATAAGATATACGAAAGCTTAAAGATAACTATTAAATATTTACTCTAGTCATTATTATGTTAAATCTTAAAAATATTTTTCGAGATAATTACATAAATAAAGTTATAATTAACTAAAGAAACTGCTGAATACTGAAATCTTCCACTTAAGGAAGCAGATAACTTAAAGTCACTAATCTAAATATATAAAACAGTTGATATATAACCCGACGAAACTTCTAGGAAAACTATTAAGTTGTCGAGATTTTGTGTGCCATTATATTTTTATGAATAATTTTCAAAATTATGTATTCTTTATCATATCTTTTACTATTTGTTTAACGGTAACCGAAGCAGAAAGACGAAGATAATTAACATTCTTTTTAGAGATACCAGAACGTTAATATAGTTTAAAACATATTGAAAAAAATGTTTTTAAAATTACTAACAACAATTAATTACAATTATTCAGAATATACAAAATTCCTACTCGGTCTCTCTATACGGGCTGTATTTTAAATTATTATGTTATTTTTCCTATAAATTAGTATTTTTACGTAGTGGTATATAGGATTTTCAGATAAATTAATATAAATATTTTAAGATTTATAGGATTATAGTTGTAAGGAAAAAATAAAAACATGTTTGACTTGCAACTGAGCCCCCTTTTTTGCATGGAATTTTAGAAAAAAATTATTAAAAATTAAAGAATCTAACTTCATTACTGATCAAATTTATATCGCTGACGAAGCGGTTTGCTCGAGTATTTCATCATTAAAAAATCTTGATCAGTAGCAAGGAGAAAAAGTTAAAAAAAAATGAATTGCATTTATGCTACGTTCAAACTATAATTATGATTGATTCCATGCATTAAATTAGTAGATATCGAAGAGGAAAATAACCAAAGGCTTTCGACAGTTCTTTATTTGTAACATACAAAAGAACAATCCATAGTTGGATGACAAGAGATTTATTTCTTGATTGGTTTCATCGAAATTTTATTCTGTTTGTGCAGAACTAAAGAAAATAAATGAATGAAAGTTGTCTAAAAAGATTCTTTTTTTTTATTTAAAAAAAGAAATATAAAATATTGAATAAAAGATAAGAAATTGATATAAAGTTTTATTCATTTTTTTTCTTACTCGTAATATCTTTAAGGACTAAAAACAAAATATTGCAGACAAAAATTAATTGTTAGAAAGTATTAATGAATATGGACAAAAGGATGAATTTTCTTCCATAAAAATTACTGACTATTTAATATATAATGAAATGACGAAAGAATGTTTTATAGCTCTTTAGACTAAGTAGAAGAAGATATAAAAAATAAATATTTCGAAATTTTAAATGATAATGAATTCATTGAATGCTTGCTAAATGAAGCGCAGGAAGAGAGAACGGATGTTATTACCGTTTCTTATAACTTATTATAATTGAACTTGACATGTAGCTATCTAGTTTCAACAGGCTCGAAGTTGTTTATCGAGTGAAATTTTCGTGATATAAAAACACTTCACTTTCAATAAAAGAAATTAATTAAATCGAAAAATAGAATTAAGTAACGATATTCCGAAGCAAACAGGAATATAAATAAGAATAATATTTTATCATTTTCGATAAATTTTTATTTAAAAAAAATAAGTGAAAAATATCAATAAAACTTTCTTGCGATTTGTAATCTTGCATTCCTTTAAAAATCTAAGTAAGGAGTTTTGGAAGGAAACATTCCATCTCCTGAAAAGTCAAAACGTGCGACGAATATATCGAAGCAAGGTTTCAACTTCACTCACAGAAAACTGCATATTCGGTTAGTATTTTGCCCACAGGGCGATAATTTGTCTTCTCTCAACTCGGGGCAACATGGTGACACATTTGCCTTCTCTCAATCTTTTTTACCAACTTTCTTATCAACTACGTCCTCGGTCTCTTTCTCTTTTCCTATACGAGTCTTATCTCATATATATTTTTTTCTTTTTCTTATTACCTTATCCCAGAAGTAGAATAACAGTACAATTCGTTATTCTAAAGAAGACTAGTAACGAATCTGCTGCATTCATAAATCGACAATATAACTCTATTGTATAACATCTTATAAACAAAAATAGAAAATATACATCACTAATCTGGCATTTTTTTGAAACAATATATTGCTTTGTTAAACAAAGATATCTCCAAAATATTATATAAACGAATAGCTTGAGGAAGTTTGTGGAGCTTCGCGGTTGCTGTAGGCTACAGTCAAACGCAGTTGTTGACACACAGTGGAGGGAGTATTAATATATAACAGAGTGACAGGATGCTGATGGATTTTTCTTTAAAAAAAATGCGGAGTCTTAAGGATATCTGTCCACTATCCCTTACTAAACAAAATGGAAATTAATTCGGCGAATCGAAAGAAAATGCTGAGGTATCATTAAATAAGTCAATTAGTGTCATAAAGTTAAATTCCAGTTTGATACGTTAATGCTCAAAAGAGTGAAAAGTGCATCGGGAGAAATTATACTAGTACCATAATAGATATTATTCAATCGAAACTCGAGTAATAACTAAAATTCTAATTAATTTATTAATTTTCTAAGTTTGATAGTTTGCTTGAACTATTTTAAAAACCTTATTAAAAAGCAAAGTTAACGATTTCTGTTTTCTGTATATCTTTCATTACATCTCGGATGCATCCGGAAATGACAAGAGACAATTTCCTGCACGTCCTCCTCCACTGGATCGATTTAAAAAGTTACAACGTACGACTCGACGGCCGTTGTTACTGTTTACATGACTTTCTGTTTAATCACTTTAAAGTTTTCGTGTCTTTTCCTATACAGCTGATGCCAAGATAGCTGACAAGGTTAAAGAAAGGGATTTGCATTCCAATCTATACGACTTTTTCCTACTCAATAAGGAAAAAAAATGCTAAAACAACTTGTTTAGGAAATGACTATTTGATTGACTAGCAGAAAAAAGCAATCATTGTTTTTTTTTTCTTTTAAAGAATTATACATTAATTATTCATATGCATTTTTGATAGGTGAAAGAGAGAATAAAAAGAATACTAAAGTTTTATTTAAATTCCAGTAATTTAAATGCATAAATTATTTAAAATCTAATAAATTCAAAGCCTTAAATGCTAAGGAATATGCTTACAATAATCTAAACCTGTAAAAAAAATGACATTTATAACAATTCTAACGCTTCGGATACACTTGTAATTGGAACTTTACCATCATTTACTGCTATTAACAAGTTTCTTAATAACAATAAATGATGGCTTTTCTATAATTATAAGTAATTTCTGTGATTATTTCAGGCTTCCATGCAATTGTAATTAAAGTCTGTAAGGAATATTTTTAATTATAACACTTACCGCATAACGTATCCTTGCGTACATGTGATCATTTAACACTTTTAATTGATTATAAATTATATATTTAACTACGTGATATTTGCAACTATCAGTTGAAAACAATGTTCATTATTATAAAAACAGAATCAAGAAGCTGGCAATTAATTTAGCCATTTAATTTTCCTTACTCAATGCTTAAACCTCTAAATTTCAACAGTAAAAAAAATAAAGTTCAATATTTATAAAGTGCGCTTACGATTATTCTACTTATGCTACATATCAAGTTAATATTTAATGTACTGTACACAAACAAATTTAGAATTTTTCACGTACATAATTTAGAATATTTCGAACTTATTTAATTAAACAACATTTACAATTACATTATTATCTTCAATGAGAGAATTGTAATCATTAACATTCAAGGAGCAAAACAATTACATTTATATACACATTTAAGTTTGATTATAAAATATTGGCGAATAAGAAAAAAAATGTAAATTAATTGCATTCAATAAGATGAAAAATAAACATTTGCATGCAAACCGCGGAATATATTTGCGACATTTGCAAAAGAGGAAATTTCATTAAAAGGCACAAAGAGTCTAGACCGAAAATTAGTAAGTATACGTGCAATTAAATAGAATTAAAACTTAATAAGGAATAGTGCAGATGACAATTATTAGTTATATAATAAACTTGCTTTAGTGTAAATGGTATTTTCGTCGTAATGCAAAGTAAGAAAAATTATCTACGTGTTTTAAATATCAATTTGAATATTTAGAAGATGAAATTAGACGATAGTTATGAATAAACATTGCAAAATAATCATTATTCTTACTTTCTAATTCTTTAAATGTTTTAAAAATTAATTTACTTCACTATTTTCACTTCATTCTTTTAATTACTTTTATGTATTTTTGTGAATAAATTCATTAAAATTTTACAATTAAAAGTAACATTAAATATTAAACCAAAGTAAAAATTATTCACTAATTTAAAAAAAGTAAATTATTTTTAACATTTACAATACAAGCAAATTTATGTAATTTCCATATTTAAAAAAATAAAAATAAAATAAAAGATTGACGAATAAATTATTAATTAAAATATATAAATAAATATATTTTAATAAGTAAGAAAAATGATACATTTTCATTATGTTCTGGATATTTTTACTAATTTTCCAGGCGATTTATTTTCATACTATCCACGGAAGATTTCCCAACCGTTAAACATTACATATTACTGTTATAGTAATGACAATTAAAAGAAAAAACGATAATAAAAATAATTAATTCAGAATTTTTCGTTGTTTTTTATTCCTTCTTCGTATGCTAAATATATTATACACTTCAGAAACATTATTAATTATTGATTGGTAATTTAGAAATTTTATAGAGCTACACCCAAAGGATAAACTAGATGGATGATAACATCATGACATTTAGGTTAATAATTCAGTTAAAAACACAAATAATTCTAATTATAATTAAGTTTCTTTTTATTATAATTAAAGTATTGAAACTGTTGATATTATTAAATTATCTGTAAATATGATTTTACCTTTATAAATTATATGAGGGAGTTGACTTGTGAGAATTCTCAGTTCAGAATTTGATAAATCACCAGTCTATAAAAAGAAGAAAGAGAATATATAAAATTAATTAATTCTGAATAAATATTTTTTGCTCGTTTAAAGTCAATTTTAATGATAAATGAGTTATTTATCTAAGTTTAAATAACTGGAATTTATGTTATTAATCTACATTAAGCATCTATATTATTCATGTTTTTAAAGTTTAAAAAAATGATAATAATGAAAAGAAAACTTTCCTTTTATCATTGATATCCTCCAATTATTGAGGTTCGAAAAGCTAATAGAGTAGAGTAAATTTATGAATTATAAAGTAATGATAAGAAGAGAATAAAAGCTTTCTTTATATAAGTTTTTGTTGTAAAGAAAATAGTATAAGAATATTCCGAACTTCAAAGAATTGCCCAGAAGCTAAAGACAATAAGAATTAAAAGGTGCACAGAAGAAATGAAAAGACCTTTTGTCACTATCTGAATATTCTTTTCTCAGTTTTCCGAATGTAATGTGAAGTTGATGCATAACTAATATAACCTTATGCCCTGGAGAAAAAACGTGTCCACAATAATGGATGACTTCGATTTATATTCTTTGTGCAAAAACATAAAACACTGCTAAAATATCGCGTTCCAATCTCTATGGATGATGTTTTTTTTTCTTCTTATGTATCATCTCTAAAGTGTTTTCTAGATAGAAAAGGTATTGACTATATTCTTTTTACAACAAAGGAATAAAAAAATATTATTCTATCCATGGTAAAAAATATCTTGATACATAATTTTATATTAAACAAGAGTTAGAATTTCTTAATTAATAAAGAGATAATTCTAAATTTTTTTCCTTATTCTTTTGCTTCTTAATCTAACTTGACTTTTCCAATTTTTTTTAAATAATATTTTTGAACTTCTCATTAGCCGGATTCCCATTCATTTTATGAAAAGAATTAAGTCAATGTCTCACTAAGAGTAAGGACACGTGAAATATTGCTCGTTATTTTTCTCACTTTAATTAGTTTTATGCATTTTATTTTAGTTTTTTTAGGTGCATGTAACCGAATCGAAGATGAAAAAAATAATGGGTATTTGTTTTACTAGCATTTGATATTACTTACACATTTGTATACTTTTTTTTGCATCTTACTATTCACCTAAGGCGTTAATAATTCTTTTGTTTGCATCTTTTTTTCCTTTACAGAAGGATACATTGTACACATTGTTCTTCTTTGTCTTGAAAGAAAACAAAGAAGAACATACTTTAACAATCGAACTGTCCATATTCTTAAAACTGAATGAACATGTTTACGCTGTAAATACATCAGAAAATGATGTCTACCGTGCAATTTCAAACTCATTACTAAAATCTTAACTACACCAATATTTCCAACTTTTCTTAAAATCGAATGATGTTTGGAATTTCTTTGTCTTCATTAAATTATAAAGAAATAACCGACTGTTCTCTGGCGTCATTTTCTTTTACTTGTAAAATAATGAGCATGATGCGGTATTCTCTTTTCATTTTGAAGGCAGAAAATAACAAGAAATTTAGGGAAAAAATTGTCCTTTTATATAATTCGATTGTAGGAAAAAAATAGAAATGTCTATAAATCAATTTTTAATATCTTTATTTTTACAGAAATGTCAGTAATAAGATAACTACGAAAAAATGTCAAAAGAGGAAAATTAAGATCAATGAAGCAAATGAAATATTTCTTTTAAAAAAATGCGAGTACTTTTTACATTAGTATCAAATTTGCGTAGAAAATTTAATTGAGCTATTGTTAAGGTACTGTAATGTATACAATCGTACCATTTTTTAAACGTCCGATTTACACTAATTGATGAGTAAATTTGTGAAAATTCGTATCTAATTTCATCGTATTACTTACATTTTAATCAAAATCTCTAATGTTAAATGAACTTATCTCATAAATATCTGAAATATTCGGTCGCTAATATTGCATAATAAATATAACCGACGTAAAATATTTATAATGTCACCATCTGTTGGTAAAATTTAATGAAGTTGGTTCCTAAATCGATCGTTACTTCTCTCATCACGTGACTTTTTCCGGTTACTATCGTTAATTACCAAGTGATTGTGAACTATCCTCTTTTAAAGGGAGGAGGGTTGAAATGGGGATTAGTCCATCCGCATTCTAAAACCCGAAGAGAGACAAGATATTTATCAATTCTGTCTGACCACACCTTTTCGTTGTAAGGTATATGACGGTTTATAACCATTCTTGAAATATAAATTATGATGAAGATTGTTGAAATGTTTCGTGTAACTATTCGGTTAATAAAGAAACATTGGTCATTTGTCTTAAGTTTCTTCCGGATAAATTTTTCTTGTGTTAAAATTTTGATGGTGAAAAGTATAAAATTTCTTTTGATCTATTTATAACGTTGTATCCAGTCAATTTTTTTTTCGGGAAATAATCCCGGTTTTTAGACTTTTATTACCTGTAAGAGAACGGCAATACCAACAACACCTTCACTTCTCCTCAATGACAATGCTTCTGTTAGATTGTTGTACAGATCGCAATTGTAGCCGAGTATTTGAAGCTAGAAATAGAAGAAGAAGACATAAAAAAGTAATTTTAAATATTTATAACATCATCTAAAGTTATATTCAAAATTTCTTATTTTAAACTTTCGTTTTGTAATTTATTAAATTTGGAACATTTCCATTAAAAAAAAAATCAAAGTGAAAATTTATCGAAAAACTATTATACAAGATAAAGGAAAAATTTAATATTAAAAATTTTTATAAGATCAATTTCGAATGAACATCCGAGACACTATAATTTTTATTCAGTTTCATCAACTCTTAAAACCATTCTGTATTGATTTCGAGCTTTACCATTATCGGGTGGGATGGAGAATTGTCCACCAAAGGAAAGAGTTGAATCGATTTTGCACCTTCTGTTCGCAAATATTGTTTTCCTATATCACAGTGACCGTAAGTGCTACCCCTGAGAGTACTCTTTCATATACAAGCCGCACTTGATATCTTTATTTGTGCTCTGATAACATAATATGTAAAATTATACCATTATAGACATTTATAGAATGACGATTCGATTGAGAATAATCCTCTCTGATCCTATTTTATCCAATTCGCATTACGATCGTGGATAAGCAATAAGTTTCATTCTGAACCTACTGTAATGTTCCTGTAGAGACATACGAGTGAGTGTTAGTCTCTATTTTAAAGAAAGAGATAAATTTGAAAATACCTGTTTTATGTATAATGACATTAATAATGGATCGGACGTTTAATATAATTAAACTTTTATTAAACGGGATATTCATTCGAGCGAATAGGAGAACTTTTTTTCTCTTTTTTTAAGTGTAGATGGGCCATCTTCCGAAATATATTATGTGATCCTATTGCTTTAAATTGAACCACGTCCAATTCTTCTTCTTCTTTCAATGTTCAATTTCTTGGAGAAGATGAAAGGCTCGGGTCATTTCAGATTTTCCAATTCGGCAAAATGACTCGGGAAATTAAGATTTAATTTTCACTTGCCAATAAGACTCGAAGAAATAGATTTAGTTTGAATTGTCATTTTGACTGCTTACACCTCTTAAACAATCTTACAGAAAGAGGGCCGATCTTTGCTATCATCTTTAAACTTCAACACTCGACCTCATTCAATGGTAGAAGGTGGGGGATTCGGTAGAAGAAATCGTTCTCAAATGCTTTACCTTAAGGTGAATGGGGAATCGAATTCTCAAATTGTTTTCGGATATCTACGAAAATGCCTAAAAGATTTTTTTAGACAAAAAAAAATGTATCCATTCAATTCTTGCGGAAAATATAGAAACTCATTGTCCATCCGAAGTGCCCTCGTTTTCTAAAGATGTAGCATTCAATCGATAAAGAGCGGATACAGGATACTTATATAATCGATTAAAGATTCCTAAAAGAGAATTTAATATAAGGAAAATTTCTTTAATATTTCTTACCATTGATAATTGTAAGACCAAAAAAAGTTAACGAAGCAATATTATTAATTGAAGAATAATAAAAATTAATAAAAGAAAATTCGAAAAATTTCCATGCGAGAAATAGAGACTCAGGAAATTGTATTCTTTTAATATAAATTTCGTTACATTTTATCACGCAATTTTATTTTATTAGGCATCAAACAATTGGAAATCAATCGGTAAATGAATAAGAAATGAAAATTTAAAAAATAATTGAAAAATTTATAATAATTTTTGAATGTTTCAATAATTCAAAAAAAATTTTACATTTTCATTCATTTTCTAGTTAAGTTTCTTACTTTTTCTTTTTGTTATTCATTTCTTTTAGAATTTAATTCTATGCATCGATAACATGGAATTTAATTCTGAATGAATAATAAAATTGAAAATTTTAAATTTAATCAGTGGATGAATGAAAATTCGAAATTTTTGAATGATTGCCAATTTAAACTGAACCAAAAAATGAATGAAAATTGAAAATTAAACCAATTTTTTAAAATTTAATTTATAAATGGACACGAGAAAAAATTAAGAATTTTGAATAGTAAGAAGGTTAAAATTAACTAAAATATTAAGGAAACTTGACAATTACGACTAAAATTTCTAAATATTAATAGAATTTATCTTCAGTTTGTATTAATAATTTACATTCTTTTATCTTTTCTAACGTCATAAATGCTAATTTATTCAAATTTCCGTGCATTTATTACTTTACTTTTAATTTTTATTCAGTTAAATTCAAAATTTCTTTTATACATTTCAATTAAATTTTAAGTTTTCAATTATTTAGAAAAAAAAATGATCAATTTTCATTCATTTACTGATTAAATATTCGTTGAGTACATGCGAAGTACAATTTCTATTATTATATTATTTAATATTAGCAAAATGAAATTGCGTGGTGGAACGTAAGGAAAAATATTCAACACATTTGTATTTATATTTTTGAATTTTAAAGATGGCCTATGTAAGAAATTGTACTTGTAACACAAGAATACGAAAACGTGTAGGTATGTGTATATATTATATCGGATTTTTTAGTATAAATCAGATCTTGCACTTTGCTTTTTCTGATGTAGAAGAATTCGGTCGATTTGTTCTAGTATCTAGTTAGGTTCCCAACTCACGATGTCAGAACGTGGAAACACAACAAATATAAAACGGAAACACCACATCAACCCAACGCTATCCTTGTTAGAGGAGAAGTGCAACATTCGGTCTCAACGTGGCGCAGGTGTGTGATTCTCTAGGGGATAATTGGCTTCAAGAAAACGATATTATGTCCCAAGTGTACTTCCCTCCATCCCACAGATCCCGTAAATAAAGGGGATGGGGTAAGTTCTTTCCCTATTCACTTCACTCGGCTCTAGAATCCGTGTAATGGAAGGTGAATGAATCCCTGGAGAGTGGAGCAAGAGAAGGCTGCCGGTTGCCTGGCAACGTCAAGTTGGAAAATGACCGCAAATGGGGTCAGTTAATTAACCAAGTCCATCTTTTCTCTTTTTCAGAACCAATGGTCAGCAAGGTAAATAACTCAAGAAAAGATTCACTACCAAAAAAGAAAAGAAGTTTGATTTTTCTATTCTCTTAAAACTTTTTTCTGTACGGAAAAACATTACATATTTATTTATCCCTTTTAAATTTACTTCAATTTAAATTAATATCGATATCTAAAATTTCGGTTTATTCTGTATTCGAATTACTATAATACATTGTAATTAAATTTGCAAGTTTTATGGGGGGAAAAACGTCTTTTTAAATCTCATTTTGGTAAAAGCATTTTAAAAATTTGTTCTTTGGTTTTTAAAGTTAATTTTTTTAAAATAAATAATAAAATTAGATATATTTGTATAATCCAAAATTAATATATAATGCTTTAAATATTGTATAATATAATAATGAATTAATTACATGAATTTAAGACTCAAAAATTCTATTGCAAAACATTTAAAAATTTTTTGAGTGTTTTCTCTTGGCAATAAGGATCTTTTTAATCATCTCATCGTGAATTCGGACAATGAAGGTGGACATATTCGAGACAATATATCGGGCCCTGCTTATAAAAACATTTGTGGGGAACCTGGGATCGATCCCGGGTCTCTCAGAGGGATATGCTGAAGGGGAGCCAAATGGACCCATTATAAATATTTTAATGCTATTCATTTACGTTTAATATTGGAGAAGTTTAACATATTATTTAACATTAATAAAGTGATGAATAGTTTAAGTTATATTCTCATTCCATCAAGTTTTAGTTTTATTGACGTTTAGTTCTATTATGTTATATTATAATAAATTATAAATTACTGTGGATAGTGTTAATAAAGTTTATATGCGCCTATTGCAATTTTACCTCTGCGGGAAAGGCATGTCCAGCAATAATGTGTTCCGATCCTCGATCATCTGTCCGTCCATAATGTAAATGTAGTTCTTGAAATCGGTACCTGTAGGATAAAGGACCGCCAGTGATGTTTACTGTTGAAGTAGGTGCTAATGATCCCACTCGGAAGAGGACACCATGACCCGTGTTTGTGATCGTACCACTAACCTGCAGATTAAATAAATTACTCTTAATATAAACTGTAATATATTTATTATATGTTTAACATTTTTTTAAATACATTTAATTTTCTTTTAAAAAATTATTAAATAAAGGCATACTTAATTAACTAATATATAAAATGCACTTAATTATAATTTTCAAATTAAATTTTCAGTTTTATATATTAAATTATAATTAATCGATCTCTCGGTTAATAAATCAAATTTTATTAATTGTTGTATATATTTTTAATGATAAGATTTCGTAAAAATGTATACAACGATTTATTAAAGAAATAGTACACATTATTTCTTAAATGGTGCAATAAATATATAATTATAATTATTTTAAAAAATTCTTATAATAATAATAATTATTATTATTANAAACCCGATAATAATAATAATTATTATTATTAATGTTTCTTGTAAAAATTGTTCTGTTGAGTATAAATATTGTCTTACAATTTGTGTAAATTCCTACTCCTATTAATACGTCATGAGTTGGAAGTTGTATTGTTCTTACTTGTTTGTCACCTGGGATACAGAGCTTCGATTGAAAATGAATTAAACAATTTCCATTTCAATAAAATATCAAAATCTTTACAAAATTCATTTCCAATTACACGTAAATAAAATTGATGCATGCTGTAATTAAAAATAACGTCACGTTTTAAATTGTATTAGAAAATAACACTCTATGAAGAATTTCTTTTTTTAATTTTATGAGTTAGAAAAACTTTCTTTCGTTAAATTAAAACTCTGTTTATTCAAGTTAAGAAAAAAAAAAATATAGGAGAAAAAAATATAAAATAATGTGGTAAGTACTGTCAATCCGAAATTAAGAACGGGACTTCATTTGAATCAATGTGATGTTAGGTACAGTACTGTAGATCTCACAGAAAAAGCAATTCTTTTCTCTTATTTTTTATATTTATTTAGTTTTTTAAGATTATGGCTTAGTGGAAGTAGTCGTTTAAGAAAAATGCCATAATAGATATATTAAATGGAGAAGGATTAAGGGAAACCGAAAAAGAGATAAACAGATAATGAGAGATAAACAAGATTTATTTACGGTCGAAAAACTATTTATATAAGAAATTATCTTCGCTGTCTTAGTGAAGAGAAAACAGATTATTTAACGCCATAACAACTACTGCACAATAGGGAAAAAATAGAACATTTTGTCATTGTCTAATTGCTGAAAAATCAGTCAACTTTAATAAAATTTTATTGAATTTTTGATGTGATTGTTTCGACTACAATTACTTTAAAACGTAACTTAATCCACACACTTAAAAGGTAACCATTCTTGTTTATTACCATAAATAAGAAAGAAATCATTGAAAATCAAACAAGATTTATTTTATTCAACTAGATTCAAATCCGAAGGCTATAACAGTCCATTTGACTAATGGTGTAACCATTCCGGACCCTACTACAGTCGCTGTAAACCAACATTAATGTTTGTAGTAAGGACACATGCCACCTTAAATCATCTCAAAGTAACCAAGTGCAATTCCCCGAGTGCTACCTGCGGAAAGGACCTCAATCCATTTCCGAATGGAGAGAAAAAAAAAGACAGATAAACTTAGCTGCATTGTCACGCTTCCTACATTTAGACCTTTTTTCTTAGCTTTCTAGAAGTTGCTAAACTTTCCTTTTTTTTAAAGCCTTAACAGCATTTATATACGTATATAAAGAAAAATATATATATATATATTAAAAATGCACAAAATTTAAAATTATTTTAAAGTTTTACAGAATAATTTTATCGATAAATGTGTTTACATTTAACAGCTCGAGTTTAAATTTAAAAAATTGCGATAACAAATTGTTTAAAAAAATTCGCTTGTTATGCATGGAGACATTGGTTTATTTTGAAAATAAATTTTCTAGAATTTCAGAGTTGACTCGGACTCCTATCGAGTGAGACATTTTGCATGGTTAGTGGGCCTAAGTTATCAAACTAACCTACTTTATATTCCGCTTTCATCTAGGATGAGTTCAAATCGTCGAATTATCCATCGGATGCACACTCGAAAAGTATTTCAAGTAAATTTATGTTATTTGCATAAGTAAATATATTTTATTCTGATTTAAAGTATATTTAATTCCTACATTACGCATTAACTTTCACGTCGTGTAACCTTATCAGCTCTTGATGTATATATTGCATGCCAGACTTTTACTCTCTGATTCATAACACTCTCTGGCATGAGTGGAATAATATATGATTTTATGCTACATATATATTTTAGCAGTTAAAAATAGCATACTAACAACAAACATAAATATATTAATAGTTTACATTTTTATAATGAATTTTAAATATTCTTTTTATTAATAATTTACGACGTGTTATATTTAAAAGCGTGGCCAAAATAACAAAAGATTTAATTGTTTAATCACGTTTTAATTCGAAGAAACTTGAGAAACTGTAATAGAATTTAAAATATATATTCGTAGCATTGTAATTTTATTTTTTTATTTCAGATAATTTTTTTTTAAATATAGAAATACAATTCTGGAATTTTTAACTTGCTGAAAGAAGAATTCTTCATAAACACATCTGGATGAAGATTCAAACAGTTTAACATCGATTTAAAAAAAATAAAAAAGAACTGTTCAATTCACATCAAGCAACCAGGCGTGTTCTTCAAAAACCTCTACGAATGTTCGTCTCTTTTTTTTTCTTTTGTTACCACAAATCGCTTTTTTTCTTTACCTCGTCTCGACTTCTTGCAAGTTTTTTATATGATGGTCAATTTACAGCAAACCATTGTGATAAATACAACGATTCTGAAAATTGCTACTTAACTCACCTCCATGAATTACTATCTAAATTTATTCCCTTTTATATATTTTAGAAACAATTTTAACTTCGTCTAGCATAAACCCGAAACAATTTTGTTTATTCATAAGAATAATCTACATTCAATAATAATAATAATGTTAAAATATTATATATATTTATAGTAATTTTATTTACTTTTAATATTATACAGTAATATATTATTAAGCGTACATAAAATTGCTTAAAATATGTATTATATTTTTAACGTTATCGAGTCTAGAGAACACGAAAATAATATTATTTATTCATAAAAATAAGCCAAACTTAATAATATATTATACAATAACATTAAGAATAAATAAAATTACAATTCTAGTAAATAGAACTTTTTACTTTTTTATTTTTTTTAATATTCTTTTAAAGTCTGAACAATGGGATTTAGCAATAATCGTAAATTATTACAAGTTATTTCGTATTTAAAATTAATATTAATAAGTGAATTAAATCTATTTATTTTAATTGTTTTTTTTATTTAAAAAGTTTTCAAGTTATTCAATAAACCAAGTATAAAAAATTTAAAATGGTTTTCTATAAAAGAATAAATTTTAATGTAATGTATAATAAATATGCTCGTTCTTATATATTGTATTGAATTCTTGTTAGAGTCACGGAAAGTATTTTAAACATAATTTAATATAAAAGATAAATATATAATATAAATAACCTGATTATAATAGGAGCCATAAAAAATCCACTTATAAAGCTACAAGTCTAATTTTATCATTTTATCTTCTTTCATTTTGAAAAGGTTCTCTCTACATTCAAGAATGGAACAATAGATTGTGTGTATAAAAACTACCGACTTTCAATCTAATATATTTTGCTGAGGGAAATATGTGAAAGTATAACGGAAAAGATAAAAGTTTATTCTATATATGACCCACTATTTTGATTTTTTAACAAAAAAAAATTGTGACGGATTTAGGGGGCAAGTTTAAAAGTTCCATTTCGAGAAGCACTAACTAAAACATTTTTTTTTTTTTTTTTTTTTTATAGAAGCTATGCATTAAATATTCTTCGAAGAATATACGAATAAAAATCAGTGACCTGAAAAATAAGAAATCTTAATTTTGTTCTGGATAAATAGCAATGATCTTGTAAGCTATTTCTGCTGAAATATTTTTAATACTTTGGGAGTAAACTTATTGATTTTTCTTATACAGTTATTTAAATTTTATTTTCTGGAAAAATGAATAATAGTTTTTATTCTTTATTCAAAAACCGTTCACTTTTATCAATATTAATAATTTAAAACGTTGACGAATATTTGAAATGATTTATCAACAAAATTCTTAATTGCGGTTTTCTGTTTGTGTAATAACTTAATGCAAAAGCAAGAATATTAAATAGAATATTATAATTTTCATTTGTTTCCTTAACATTTTTCAATTTGAAATAATTAATTTGCTTATTTTGTTTAAAGTTTTAAAGTTGTATAATAAAATTATGTACTTTTTGAATATTTTAATGCAATTTAATATCAATGAATCGTAGTGTTTCTGTTTTCCATTTAAAAACCATATAAGCATAATATACATAATTATTCTATAATTAATAAATTAAATATAAATAATTTTTTCTTTTAATAGAAAAATATTAAATTTTCAAGTACACATTACATAAAAATAGTTAAAAATTACTTTAAATCAGGAGTTCCTATCCTGGTATCCACGAACCTCTTAGGGATGGATTTAAGAAATCCGTGGATAAGTTTAATGATTCTATTAACTTAGGTGGAGAAAAATTAGGTTTATCTTCACTAACATCTAACTAAAATTTAGCATTTATATCAATTATCAATGTAAGTAACAAACCACAATAGTGTTAGCAATATCTGTGATTTTATCATCAATAGAAAGCATAATTATTTTCATATCAAATTATAAATGCCACATAAATTATTATACCCCTTTAACAACTGTATTTTAATATAATTGTTTCCTTTATGATCACATATATTTATTTTTTATGCATTTTTAAGTATTATTCTGAGAAATAGACCATGGACTTCATCAGTTTGCCAAAGGAGTCCATGGCACAAAAACATCATATTAATTAGTGTATAACTCTTTAAACATAATAATTGAATAAAAATAGTTTATATTATATTAATTAATAACATTAGAAAAATATTTTTTTTTAAATTTTTA